GGTGCTGGTGCAGTGGTTACACAGCTGGCTCCCAGGAAGGGCCCTGGTCCCCGTCCTGCGCCTCCCCGTGGGGCCAGGTGCTGGTGCAGTGGTTACACAGCTGGCTCCCAGGAAGGGCCCTGGTCCCCGTCCTAGGCCTCCCCGTGGGGCCAGGTGCTGGTGCAGTGGTTACACAGCTGGCTCCCAGGAAGGGCCCTGGTCCCCGTCCTGCGCCTCCCCGTGGGGCCAGGTGCTGGTGCAGTGGTTACACAGCTGGCTCCCAGGAAGGGCCCTGGTCCCCGTCCTGGGCCTCCCCATGCATGCTGCTGTGCACATGTATTTTTGATCACGGCTGGCTGAGACAGGGTAGACTGAACCCTTTGGGTCCGTTCTGGTGCAGTGGTTACACAGCTGGCTCCCAGGAAGGGCCCTGGTCCCCGTCCTGCGCCTCCCCGTGGGGCCAGGTGCTGGTGCAGTGGTTACACAGCTGGGCTCACAGAGAAGGGCCCTGGTCCCCGTCCTGGGCCTCCCCATGCATGCTGCTGTGCACATGTATTTTTGATCACGGCTGGCTGAGACAGGGTAGACTGAACCCTTTGGGGGTACCTTTTGGTATCTCTCTCTCTGTTTCTCTCTGTGTTTCTCTCCATCTCTCTTTTTCATGGACGAAATAAATAAATTTAGAAAAAAATCAAAATAAAACCCTCTAAAATAGCTTTAGAAAACCAAGTCTGGATGCCTGTGGTTACACACCATCTGAGGCGGCTCCATCCCTACCTGTCACGTCCCCCCCTCCCCCGCACACACACACACAGTTTGATGGTGGGCGAGTCCAACTGGAGACTCAGGCCTCACTCCGACTACCAATCAGAAAGCGCAATGTGCTTCAGTTCCATTTAAATGCCTCCGTCCTGCTGTTTTGTTTTCATGGAATAAACACTTTTACATGGAATTTACTCAATGGGGAGGTTGATGTAACTGCATTTATTAAGCTTAGCAGTTCTTGACTATGCACAGGATGAAGTCCAATATATTTATTGACTCAAAGGTGGAAAATTCAGCTGAGCCCAGATGCAATTTGACTGCCAGGGACAACCACACTCAGTGTCAGTCAGCACTGTGTCTCTGGGTGAGAAATGAGAGACTAGTTAATGGGGTTTACTTCACCGCTTCGTCACACTTTGTCTCCTGGATAAAACCTCAGAGATTCACTGTTCGGAGATATCTGAGATAAACTGTACGGCCCAGGAGCCGGTACTTCCTCGCCCACCGTGAATGTATTTAGGGGAAATCCTCGGTGTTTGTATTTATTTATTTTAAAGGACACAAAAGTCAAGGCTTTCAGCTTGGGTCATGATCATTTTCCAAGCTGCACAGCTGGAATGGGGTCCTGACCATCAGTTCCTACTGCCCAGCCCTGGCAACAGGACATGAGTCCTTTGTCCCTGGGCTCCATGGAGGAGAGACCTTCAGGACTTGCAGGCTCCTGTGCATACAGGAAGAAGTGCATTGGTCTCCCAGGGCAGGGACTGCCATGGAGATAGCTAAATGCAGGTGTGTGCTCAACAGACGGTGCTTGGTCTCCACCCCCAGCCCCATCCCTGCTGTGCACTCACCGTGCCTTCCGGGTCCACGAGCAGCAGGTGCTTGGCCTGGCCGTGGTGCATGCCCGTGAGGACGAACGAGCCCGGGTTGGTGGTGCTCTTCCTGACCAGGAAGTCTCCGTCCTTCTCCAGCAGACCCTCTGCCTCCTTCCTGTTCATCTCCCCCTGGTACCAAGGCTCTGCCTTCAGCTCCTCCAGCATGCTGGCATCGGGGGCTCTGGGCGAGACGGGGCTGATGCACTCCACGGAGGCTGCTTTGCTCAATGTGGGCCCCATAGACTGATTCTTGAGCGCATCTTCAAAAGGTTCTGTCAACAACAATATTTTCCAGCAACAAGTCAATTCCAAGAAGAGCAAGTGATAAAAATAAAATGTGAGAGATGAAAATGCAAAGGCAATGCTTCCGAAAGAAAAAAATAACTGGCCGCTAATATAACAAGACTCATCACGACAAGCATTTAAAAGCAAAGCCCATAGTTTTAGCCTGGCTCTTTCTGGTGCGTCCGCTTTCTCAAGACAGCTGGGAGTTGTACTCTGAGCCTAGGAGTTAAAATGCCTTTGGTCTAGCTAGTTAGAATGACCACATCTTTGCTGGCTGCGAAAGACCATGCATATTACACTCTACTTTCAAATTCTGAATAAAAACCTGCCAATACCAAAGCAATAGGTAGGCTCCTGAGTTTTGAATTCATGCAAGACCTAAGCCCAGACACCATGTTTTTTTTTTTTTTTAATTATTTCAAGATATATGCATTAGGCATTTTTTTAAAGAAGAAAGCTGACATGTATTGCCTCTGGTGTGACTTACTCCAGATTAGGCACTCTACTACTCCTTGACCCTCACATGTTCCCGGGTAGAAAAAGGCTCTTGCAGGAGAGCCCGAGACCTAGCGTGGCTTCATCCCCTGTGGAACACACTTCTCACCACAGGGCATCTGTGAATGGGGAGACTCCCTGCATCAACAGCAAGAAATACTGGTAGCAAAACAAGTAGCCGGGCTACTTAATTAAATCTCAATGTAAGGTAGGAGGTACAAAAGGACGAGGGAAACTTCACATGTGCTATTCAAGGGTAAGTCAGAATGAGGGTTATTTAAGACCACATGGGCCACCCAGAATAATGCTAGCAGCACTAGAATAGGAATGGTTTTCTCCTGGGCATAACTACACTCCCAGAGGTCTGTACTGTTCCTGGGACACAGTTTGTACTGTATGAGCAGTAGTGAATGCTATAAAATAAACTCCTTTTGGGAAAGGTTGAAGGATAGACAGAAATGAGGTGAATAAATAAGGTCAAAATCAAGTCACCAAAATGTTGACATTGTTAAATTTTTTACAGATTCTGGGATAAAAAGAAATTCAGGTTATTGACTAAAATTATGAGTTTGATTTTGTATCCCACTTTTTTCTGATTAACCAGAATAATTTAAACTTTGTATTGACCTGTTTGTGGGTCATCACCACCTTCACCGTAGTCAGCTTCATCCTTGTTATCCCCATTACTTTATTGTCACCTCCAACATCACCATCAGCACCAACATTACACCATCATGATCAACATTCTTGTTGCCAGCATAACTATTACCACCACCATGACCATCGTCTTCATCACCACCACCACCATCGCTATCACCGATACCAACACCAACATTACACTATCACGATCAACATTCTTGTTGCCACCATAAATATTACCACCACCATGACCATCGTCTTCATCACCACCACCACCATCGCTATCACCGATACCAACACCAACATTACACTATCACGATCAACATTCTTGTTGCCACCATAAATATTACCACCACCATGACCATCGTCTTCATCACCACCACCACCATCGCTGACTATCACTGATACCAACACCAACATTACACCATCACAATCAACATTCTTATA